TCAGTCATCTCAGAACTTAGAAGTTTAGAAAGACCATCCCTGCACATACTTAAATAGTTCATCATGGATAGTAAAAGATTATGTTTTTAAATAACATTCAAATAAAACCAAAGAGATTTTGGGTTCTGGCACAATGTAAGATTCTAAGAGAACATGGTGGTTTGAATGAGTACAAAATGGGCTTCAATTTCAACATGAGGACTTGGGCAAAAATGTTTCAAGAAAGACTTTTAATCAAGAGGAAAGTTCATTACGTAGGATATTTAAGTGAGGCTCTATTCCTAATGTGTGAATCCCAGTAAGTATGCTGTGACACGTTGACATGTTACAGAACTGTATCATGTTTTAGATTAAGAACCTTTTCTACAGAACATTTACTAACTAGAGAAATCCTATCTCTACCACTAAAGGTACTGGAATGTAGAAGTGCTTTGAAATTGTCAGAGTGACTCTGAGGAGAAATGCAACAGCAATCAGTAGTTAATGACATCAACTCCAAGCGGGTGGGAGTCACATCCCATACCTACCATACCATATAGCAACACCACTCTTCTGCCTTTAAACACCAACCAAACAAGAACCAAGTTATTGTTCCTCAGCCTTCCCTTTCTTAAGATTACGTCAAGTCAGCTCTTTCCCTTTAATCTTCAAAGTCCAGGTCTCAAGATGAAGCCCAGAAAATGTGCAACATTGTCTCTTCTGGGAGGAAATTTACTATTATGATCACATATAATCCCTTCAAAAGACTGTGATCACAGCTGTTTCCACTAGCATGGTATTTAACTTTTATGATACCAAACTTTTAGCTAGTGGATATGGGAGAAGTTCTCTACCCAGGGTAACATGTTGGAAGAAAAACTTCCAAGTATCTTTAGAACTATCTTCTTTGGATTAGAAAAATGAAAGTCCACAGCCTCCTAATGACATGGAAAATAGTGTGCCTAAAGTATAGGACAAGGTTCAGCTTCCATAAAATTCTCAAAGTCCCTAAAACATTAAGAACACTCACTTAAACACTATTGCAAAACTCTTGTATGATTCCTGAGCTCATGTTTTAAATCCCCTCCACATGTTAAAGTACTCAAGAAATAGCAATATAATAGTATTATTCGATATAGCTTGAATTTTAAACTCACCCTGGCAAGGTTATATACCTTGTGATTCTAACAACCAGATTACTTCTTTCAAACTCCATGAAATATCCAATAGCCAATCTAAGTTCAATCGCTTCTAAGTCTGTTGCAAGATATTTGATCACACTGTGAACTCCAAGGTTTGTTATTTAGTGAAAAAAAAAATACTTCGTAGATGTGATGTGGCTCAGCCCTTAGCACACACTTTTAATCTCCTTTGCTGGAATACAGACAAGCCCTTAGTACAAACCTTTATTTAGTCCCAAACAATGAAGGTAAAGTTAGTTTGTAGAAGGAAGCACCCATGTCTGACAGTGATGTTTAATTGAGAGGCAGACAAAGTGATGAATCAGAGAAAGATCTGATAGAATAGGATATGTCCAACTCTTATAAGAGAGAGCAGTGAAGAGAGAAAAGCAAGAAGCAGTTTTACTAGGACAGTTATAGAAAGGAAGGTTGGGGGGGGAGAGAGAA